TTAACAGCCTCAATAAATGTTTTACAGGTGTGAGAATTGTTATGGTAGCCAGTCAGATAACTATATATTTCCCACTTAAAAATAAGATTTTTAGGCCATTAATATTTTCTTATAGATTTGGTTTCTTATTAATGGGCACATAAAGGCACAGCGAGCACTTGTCTCATCATCCTCTGTATAAAATAAGCAGGAAAGCCTCAGACGCAATGCATGAATTTTTGCTAACAGCGTTTATCATTTTAACAGATAACCACCACCACAAAACCAGAAAGCAGCAGGCCTGCTCCCCTCCATCACTTGAAATCCCAGGTCCTGGGAGGAACCCTGACTCAGCCCAAAATAGTCCAAAAGAGAATCAGAAGGATGCAGAAATAAACAAGGCTGTAGTATCGACTTCCACCATTTTGGACTCTAGTCAAACAGATCAAAGTCTTTCTGCTCAGCTTAACGAAAGCCTTCGATGGGATGGGATTCTTGAAGATCCTGTAGCAGAGGAAGAAAGGCTGGGTATCTATAAGATGAACAGAAGGAAACGGTACGAATCGTATATCCAGCAACATTTACTCGCTGAGCCATGCCCAACTGTCAGGCATTCCCCATTACTTCATCGCAGGGTATCATGCACAAGCAGTGATCACACAGTATGTAAAGCAGATTGCTGCAGTTATTTTCTGGAGGAGCAAGCGTGAACTGGTCCTGAATGCTGACGAGCTAGCACAATCTCCAAGCTGCAACCACTGGTGTCACCCAAAATCTCTGAACAAGTTCTGTAGCTTAGTGCTGATTACTCACTGTCTTACATCTGTGTGGAGAACAGGACATTTATATTTTAAAAACAAACCAACCTCTTAGTTAAAATATGGATGCAACTCAGACTACTTCAACAATTAGAAGCGTTCCTTTCCATACTGCCTATTTGTCCTGGAGTATCCCTAGTTCTTGCTATCGGTCTGTTTCAAAATAACACTCACTGCATTACACCCGAGCTTTTCAGGTATTCACATCATGAACTGCTGGTCCGGAAACCAGCAACCACAGCCCTGTGGCAGATGGGAAAACTGAGTATGGGCAGGTGAATGACCGGATACCTTCTTTGGAGGCTAAAATGATTTGCAGGCACACAGACTTACCTAGTACTGGAAACTGAGTGAGCTGCAAAATCGGGATTGGAATCCAGCCCTTGTCTCCTAGCTTGTGATCTAATTGTTAGGTACAGTATTTTATTTTGTTACCAAAATTCATTGTATCAGACCCTCCGATTTCACATTCTGGAGAAGCACAGCACATATACAAGGAAAATGGAGCACACCTATAACGAGGGGGTTACCCTTGTCATGCTATGTACTAACCAGAAGCCCACTTGGCCAATATGAATTAAAAATCACATCAAACAGTAAGCTGCCTTGTACTCCCCTACTTCAACTTCTGATAGTAAAGGAACATCTTTCATACAGCGTGTTACTGCAATATTAATGGAAAACAGCCCAGGCCACACTAAAGGAAGTATCTGGAAGTTAGATGGCGCATCTGAAAGGAGAGAAAGTTTTTCCTGAAGTCCTCCTGAAAGATACTGTTCTGATTTCTAAAGTTTTTTCTTAATGGCTCTTCAAATGGACTGTCTTTTATACAGCAATTGATGTTTATATACGGCTTTTCTCCTGTTTAATACTTTAGACACTGCATGATACTCAAAATGCTTGCACAGACCTTTGCAGGAGCAGCAGCAAGCTTTAGAATAGCTTCAAAGCTCCCTAGATTCCAATAATGTCATTACATGCAAATCTAGAGCTTTTGCAAGGAGACAACCAGATGAACAATGAAAAGTAAGCAAAAAATCCCATTAGGAATTAATTAACTGATGTTCAATTGCATCCACTTCTACCCTGCCAGAGATACTAACAAAATCAGCACGCCTGCAAATTCAGAAGAGTTTAAAGAACAGATTAAGTATCCAGAAAAACACTACAGCATTTCTCTCAAAACAATAGTTGTAATCATCTATTTTGTTTTTATAAAGTTTAATGCATAACACATTCTAGTCTTATGTTTATGCTGCAGTTACTAAAGTAGCATTTGAGCATCTACATTTTTAACCAATATTAAAAAGAAATTCCTGTCTGGTTAAATACTTGTCATATTTGAAAAGGATAAGTGCTTCACTTGCAGGATATGCTGAAATCCATACCAGAAACTAATCTTTAAAAATAAAACTATACCAGATGAAAGACTCAAATACATACTGGAGAGGATTTTCAGCGGTCTTCAAGGCACTTTTTCAAGTCTCTTACTAAACAGATAAAACCACAACATTTGGTGTGGGTTTTTTTTTTAAATACAGTTTTATATAGGAAACGCCTTCCCAGAATATGTAAACAACAGCAACACATGATATAAGAGAAACAAGAGGGGAGCTGGGAATGGCAGGATATATTATGTATTTATTGCTAAGTAAATACCACAATAAACACTGAAAAGCTTTGAATGAAAAATAAAGAGACTTCCCTATATGATGGTTTTCAGATCATTTATTACCAATAAAGTAAAAGACAAATTGAAAATTAGAAGGAGGGGGTGGGAAACATCACAGATATCGGAACACTTGCACAGAGCTAATCAGAGCTTTGCAAATGTTGGAACATAAATAATTTAAAAGGTATCTCTACCAATTAAAATATTTTTAAGAGGTACATAATTAAGTTTGTTTGCTTTATAAAAATCAGGTGCTTTATCCTAAAACCATAGTGTAAGGGTCATTTAATTTCTAATTTAACTAGGGACAATTAACGATTACAACTTAAAATAATCTTCTCTCAGATCTTCTGCAAACGAATTCATTGGAAAAAAAAAAACGGAGCAATCCAGGGTCCGTTCTTCCAGCGTCCTGTGTCCAACAGTGGCCAGCACCAGATGTTTCAGGAGCAAGGTACACAAAACTGCGAAGCGAGCCATGATGCAATAGCTTCCCCAAAGAAGAGTTCTGTCCATTTGAAACCCCACACACTTAGGGGCTGAGTTGTGCCTTCTGTTACGCAACAAGTATATCTTGGGGCAACGTTTAGGGGAGAATGGCGACAGGTATTTAAGACACATCTCCTAAATACTGTAGTCTGAAACCAACATGTTTATTGAGAAGGCTGTGCTGCTCTTAACAACTCTGGAGCAATGCCTACCTGACTTTGGCATCCTCTGTCACCCTGGTTTTAGGATCTGGTTTTCTGAGGCAAGTACCAAAGACTAAGGACATTCTGTTCTGAGCTAATAAATAAGTAAAAAACCAAAACAACAAAAAACCCAAACCCCACAAACTCAAGCTTTCCTTCCTGCTGCATTTTTAGTCTCCCAAATCATTTCAGTTTACACTAGAGTACACTCCCACACCATTCATCGCGCTTGCACGAACACACGCTAAGTACAGCTCAAGAACAGGCTCCCGAGTTTCTAACTCACCACTGACAAAATTCACCCTTGAGGCCACACAGTAGCAAAGTCCTCTTTAAAACAGGTCCAGGGCTGATGTTGAACCAGAAGGTGACCCGCACCTCAGAGGAGTTTTGGAATACATGGAAAAGCCGTGTCCAGCTAAATCAAGTCTACCAAGTGTTTCTGAGCTGCTACACCACGCTAGCCACCAACATAAGCCACGCTCCCAAAAGCAGATGCTCTCCACACTACACTGCTCTCTGTCAATATAGAAAAAAAAAAACCAACATCTGGGTAAAGTAAGAAACCTCTCCGTCTTATTTTCAAAGTGCATGATAAACTAATGCACGTAACATCCAGATGGCCTTTCATAGTATCTGAAGTTATTCCCTTTGGTCCCCAAACTCATCATGCATGTGGGACTGGAGGGGTTATTCAACAGCCTATAGACAGGCAAATGCTACCCCATCCCAGTGACGTCCTGAATATTCAAGTCCAGAGAAGACATGGACCTCTGAAATGAGAAGCTCAATGGGGAAGCAGAGCTACAGCTGTGGATTTTGCTATGCAATAAAAATTTGCCTGTCCTTTGCTACCATCTACCTCTTCACAACCCTCACCACGACCGAGTCTCACACCCGATCCCAGCACCTCCTTCTCCACTCCAGGTCCCTGTACACACGGTGCATTTTCGGAAACATTCCTAATTACAACTCCCGTAGTGCAGACAGAACAACGTTGACAAAACCTAGGCACTGGTGTTTTTCCACCACCACACTGTCAAGTCTTGACTTTCCAACAATAGAGGGATAATTTTTGGCCTGATATTCTTCATTACAAGTCCTACTACACATAGTACACAAATGCTAGCATGTTACACAGACTACAGCGCTGTAGAAGTCATTTTAAGTACAGAAGATACATCGCGCCATTCACCTAAAGAACTTGAATTACCTCATCCTTTCTCTGCTGCCTGGAGCTGCAAAAGCAGTTTGCTCTACTCAGAATTCCTCTTCTTTCCAACTCACACCTTCAAACCGGACATGAATGCCATAGGATAACATTTTTGTGCCTGTTAAATGCAGAATTCCAGATTTTTCTCTGTTAAATTTTTCCAGCAATTTCCAGGAGATGGTTCTTCAGAGAAAACAGTCTCACGATCTACACTGAAATGAATGACAGCTCTGGCTGTAACCAAATGACCTGGTAGATTCTCTGCAAGAGAGCGAACTGCCCTTATTTTTGCACATCACCACAAAGCATCGAACGGATTTCCACCTGCCAGGCACTATTCCACAGTCTTTCTTACCTGTCAATTTTTTCTCTGGGAAAATACTTCCCCTTATTTTTATCTGATTACTGCACTGTGGGGAAGGGGAGGGAACTCACAACTTTAAAGGCAAAGAAACAAGTTCCTTACTAAGTTAAGTTCCCACAGAAAGCTGCGTTCAGACCATTCTGATGCTTAAAGCAGGAATTAAGAGCTGAGGAAGAGGGTCTGTACCCGCTTTAGCTAGTGGAGTTGGCACAGTACATTAGATGGGACTGGGATGGATCAGAGCAAGAGAGATGGCCGTCAGTCAGCAACCATCCAGGACACAGTCGTTCCCCAGGTACTCCGAAGTTTCCAGTTCTACGCTGGAGAGGAACCGCCGCATGGTCTTACGACAGTTGTAATCCAGCGTGGTGGTGTACACAGTCTTGGCGTGCTTCGGGTAAATGATGGTGGTGCTGGTGAAACGCTGGGGCTTGTTGCGGGGCTCGAAGTGGACCTCCGCTTTGTAATTGCGCCACGTGCAGTTTGGGACACAGATGACCGTCTGACTGCAAGAAGAAACGCTTAAGCCCACTGGCATATAGATGTCATCAATGAAGTGCTTCTCCGAGTCGTATTTAACCGAGGACGTGTACCTGAAATACAAGAGACGCATGCGTGAGGTTTGCTCTGGAGTAGTAAGCTGCATTTTCTGGAAAACGGAGCCATTGGGTACCGGGGCGGCTCCCCAGCCCTGCGCCTGCCACCTCAACCCAGGAACAGCCACGTAATGCAAACGCTGCCTGGTGGTGCCTCACACACTCCTTTAAGGAAAAAGCCTTATGTTAGCAGCACGCCTGGCACTGTCACTGTTTTGTCCAGCTGCCAGCACCACCAAACATCTTCTCAATCCTCATGTCCATTGTCTTAAGCCTGAGTTCTATGAAGCTAAGAAGCTCCTTCAAACACCAGTGCCTACACCCAGAGGCCTAAATCCATATTTAGGTTTTACACATAAGCACCCTAATTCCTCGGAGTGCCAAGTCCATGGAAGCACACATTATTTTCTCAGTTCTCCTCTGCCAAGAGTCACACGGGAGTTCTCTGCTATCGCTCCCGGCATGGGGCACTCTCTGAAGATTCAACTGGCAGGAAAACACTACAATTTGCACATCAGACTCTGCGGGGAAGAAAATCCTCTGTGCCTGGATTGCAGAAGAAAGTTTTCATCTCCTTCACAGTGTGACAACTCTGTGTTAGCTTTTTCACGGTGCCAACTGCCTTCAGCTCCAGCCACGGGGCGGGCTCCTTCCCCACACCAGGGCAACCACCGCTTTCTACCCTCCCCTGCATTAGGCTTCTGTTTGATTGTATCAGTCTACCTCTGCTTGCACAGTGATCAACTGGGAGCCTTCATTTCTCATTACTGCAAATCATGATGTTCAAAGGAATAATTCACAGGCTGCAAAGTGATTTAAAAAAAAAAATTATGCACTCTCTTAATATTAACTTTTCTTTTAGTTCACACAGCCAGCCACAGCTGATAAGACAGAAAGTACTTATTACAAACCCATGAGGTTAGGACAGCAAAATTCCTTTCCCCTAATAAAACAGTTCTAGAAAGATGGCTGCTTTGAAGATCTTCCTTCACGATTACCTTCTGGTTAATCAGTTGAAAGGCAACATTTTGGAGCAGTGCAATGAAGTAAAAGCAAGAGAGTAAAATACAGGAAAGTCTTCCTGGAAAAAAAAACATATGGAATTAAAAGAGGCTGAACACTCCTTCAAAATGTCCAGGTCCAGGAATGTACAGCTGCGTGGAACAATAGCTCTGCAAATAAATTAACTTGACTCACAGGCACTGATAAGGCCTAACTACTCCTTTACAGGCTAACTCCTTCAAAACTAGATGACTGTAACACAATATTTACCTTATTTCCTTTGGTGGTAAAGGGTCAAACTCAACTCCTTCGCCAAAGGATAAAGGACACAATCTTGGAGGGCAGCTGGGGAGAACAGGGCTGGGAGAAAACACAGAATTCTGCAAAAAATGCAAAAATAATCCTCTTTATGTCACAATTCAGTATATTCTCAAGGAAACACATTTATTTAGCCCTTGGTACAGAGATGTCGAGGTTCACATTCACGTGCAAGAGGATCCGCGAGTCCACGACATGCCTACAGGTGCAACCTGCAGCTCTGACTTGACGCTGGTCTACAGCATCAACGATGTGGCGAGGTGTATTTTTTGAAGACAAGTCCTAACTCCAGGAGCTTACTTCAGAGGAGCCACTCTGGGAAATGAGAGAGAAACACAGCCCCTCGGCGCAGCGCAGCCTTCTGCAGCACGAACTATAGTCCATTCGCTGTATGAGCGCAAGTTCAATTTATAGCTAACATTATGAGTGTCTGAGAGAACTCTCCTTGCTGGATTCATCAGATATCCCCACGGGCAGACCGCAGCAGGAAATTACTGCGGGACATCTCACCGTGAGCAACCTCCTTGGTTCACAGCTACGCCATGCCTACTATTTGAAGGCATTAAATCCAGCCTGTCTAATTCACACATGACCTGTTGGGAAGGATTAACTCGTTCCCTCTGAGCGGCGATTCACGGCGCATCCCTGTGCCGCTCTCCTGGACGGGCAGCACTGCGAGCTGACAGCGGCCTGGCAGCGTCCCACAGCCAGGCGGAAACCAAGGCGGCCCTGAAGGGAAGCGACCCACTGTAGGCTTTGCAGCCACCTCTGCCCGTGTGCGTTACTATCCAGGGGCGAGGGGGCTGCGAGCATCTCTCCTGTTCAACACATGGTTGGTTCTCCTATGGCCTTTTCTGATTTCATGGCAGCACCCCTGTAGAAAAGGGATCTTTCCTCTAGATCTGCGCTTCCCAATTTGTACCAACAGCTCAGCGTCAACATTCAAAAATCATTTTGCGAAAAACTAGCGCATCTCTACCTGATACTATTAACTGAAACCAGAGTTTAACATACAAACGTCCTACTCTGGGTCACTCTCTGGAATAACGAGAGTTCATTTCCCACAGGGATTTTCAAAGATGTGCTGTGACACCGTCCCAACCCCTGCCTGGGGCAGGAGAGACAGGGGCGTCCCTTGCATCAGCACGAACCGACCCCAAAGCCGGAGGCTTTCAAAAATCCCCGCGGCTCCCCTGACCCAACGCGGCCCCGGCCCTGCCTGCGGACGCCCCGGTTCCCCGGCGGGCTCCCTCCCGGTGCGGGCGCATTAACGGACGCGACAGCAGCAGGAGACGTCGGTGGACGGGAGGGAAACGGAGGTCCGTTGTCTCCAACCCGTCCCCACGCCGGCCGCCCCGGTGCCGGCCCCCCCGGGCTGGTTTGCCACCCTCCCTTCCTCAGAGGATGCGGCGGGGCCCGGAGCGCGAAGCCCGGGGAGCAGCCGCCCGCCCGCCCGCCCGTCCCGGGGCGATGCATCCCGGCAGGGTCC